GATCCTTGGATCGGTGCGGACGGACAGATTGCTGTCTGGAGTGAGAATGCAATACTTATGCAGACATTCATTAAGAAATAAACAAAAATAGGCGTACGCTCCACATACTAATCTACTTAAGTATCCCCTCTCTCACGCCAAGGAGATCGGCTTCACTCCAAGAGCGTCTCCTACGCTCCGACGAAGGCGCACACACATTCATTCACAGAGCATACAAGAAGCGTCCATGCGTATTTAAACTGGACGTTTGGAGAAGAGATCGGCGGCACCTGAACTTTCTAATTAGTTTTTTCTTTCGGTTATCCATCCTTCCTTCCTTCCTTCCTTCTTCGTTCATCTTTTCCACCCCGAAGGATCCCGATCGTGCTGGATATTGAAGGGGTTTGCACTCACATCATACTCCCCCCTGTGCTCGGCTTTACGCGTTGCACTGGTCTCACCGCCACAAGTGCACCTGATCATCGGACCCGCACAAGCGGGCCAAAGCCCTCCTCCGTGCAAGCACGGACTCGAACCGGCGACCTTGGCCTCAGGAGCCAAGTCTCCTAACCACTACAGCCAGGACATGGGTGTTCAAAAAGTGGAACCATACCGGTCGTTATATCCACCCCACCCTACCCCTGCAAGGGGCTGTAGTGTCCAAGTCAACACACACCATACACAACGCCACGCGGACGCACCACACAGACGCGGCGGCAATTCTCGCTCACTCCGCTCCGTTGCACAGGACGCCTTCCATCGGACCGCGGATAGACGGACCTGAAGTGTACATTTCCGGCGAGAAACCGTGCAATTCTCACGTTCATTATAGTCGCTTTTAATTGCTGGAAAAGAGAGGGGGGAGGGGGGGGGCGGGGGGGAATTGAAGACGAGAGATTTGGTCATTTTTTGCTTTAGAAAAAGGAAAAGCTGCTTGTCTTCGTTGCGTTGCAGAGGACGAATAGACGGCATGCCGATAAACGGAACGCGAGAAGGAGAGTACCAATCAAGAGCTTTACACGCCACTGCAAATACCAGTTTCATCAAAATCCATGGATATATGAAGAGGGAGACCGAGCAGGTCGATGGGTTGTACGGAGGGATATGCACTTCATTCCAGGAATGGATGCAAGCCTGCACGCCCGGGCAGATGAGCGTAGGGATCTGCACGTGGACACCTGGAGCAGATGGATGTACGGATTGATGGACGGACGAGTGGATACAACGACCGCGAGGGTGGCCGATGTACGGCAGATCTGCGGTCAGACGGATGAGATGTAGGTACGAAAGAATGTACGGACGAACGGATGGACACAAGGATCCGAGGATGATCTAGGATGGACAGCTCAGTGGTTGGATCTGGGATGGACGAACGGACGGATGACAGGAATGCGCCGACGGATGACATGAATGTACGGACGGACGACATGAATGTACGGAATGTACGGACGGATGAGATGTACGTACGGAGGAATGTACGGTTGGATGGATCATGACACACGAATGGACATACGGGTAGGGGGGTTACAGATGGATGGATGGTTGGACAAACGGAAACAGATAACTGGATGGATGCACACATTCAGAGACGGATAGACAAAAGGGGGATGGAAGGATGGGGAAGACGTAGGAAGTGGGCGAGGGGCGGGGGGGATGGATGGATGGATGGATGGATGGATGGATGGATGGATGGATGGATGGATGGACGGATGTAATAGCTGAACGTGAACAGATTCATGGGTATGATGGCACAGATGGTCTGATTGAGATGGAAAGCAGGACATATGGATCGATCGATAAAAGGGGCTGAAAGAATGAATGGATGGAAGAATTCATAAATGGATGGATGGAAGAGTTCATGGATGGATAAGAGGGCTGAAAGAATGAGAATGGATAAAAGGGCTGAAAGAGTGAATGGACGGAAGAGTTGATGGATCGATGGAAGAATAGGTAGAACGGTTGAAAGAATGAATGGATGGAAGAACGAACGATATGAGATCAGTCATAACAGCAGAGGTATGGACGGGATAAACGGACCAGACGAACGGAGTGTCCGAGACAAAGGAAAGCAAGAGTAGGTTGGGTCATCGTACATACCTAAGGAGAGAAAGAAAAGCCACAGCGAGCATAAGCGCCAGAACCCGCCATTAGTTGTGATAATGAGCCTCATTTCAGCCGGATTTCCGCTGGGAGGCTTCTTCCTCAAAGGCATCATCCCCTATTCACGGGAGCAGGAGATGTGCAGATTCGAAGTTGCGTCTTCCCTCTGCGGTAATCGAACCCCCTCCTTTTCTCCGCTCAAAGTCCTGCAGACGCTCTTATCCTGTGAACCTCTCTCTCTCTCTCTCTCTCTCTCTCTCTCTCTCTCTCTCTCTCTCTCTCTCCCCTGCCCATGTATTTCTTTGTTCTTCTTTCTACTTTTGAGAATCTCCTTCGTTTTTCTTTTGTGTTTTGACAATGGAAGAAAGTCCTGCTACCGGTAGCTCTACGCTGGGCAAGGCTCAGCATCAATCACTGAGAAAGGTACTTGTGGTTTAAGGAAAATAGCAGAGCATCCAGATGATACGAGATGGATAGATGCAGCAAGGTTGTAAGGTTGTACAGGATCCAGGTCCTCCGTGTAGTGGAGGAATGGGTAGCCTCTCACCTGGACATCCCAGTTCAGAACCTACCCTTCAACTCGTTGGACTGGCAATGGACCACGACAAGGAGGCAGGTAGGAACCAGGCCTAAACAACTGGCATGCATGGGGTTAAGGCTTTTTTTTTTTTTTTTTTTTTTTTTTTTTGCATGGGGGTTAAGGCTGCATACAGGATGCTGAGAATCCAATTACAACTTAGAGACGTGGTCATGAACAGATGGGCTACGCACCTGAATGGAAGCAGAGATGAAGTCGAATCAATTCGCTGGTTTGCAGAGAGGCCAGAATGTAACCAGCAAAGATTTCAATCTCTGCATTGGCAAATAGAGCAGAGCTGACTCCCAACTGACGACTGGTTGATTGACCTTACGTGCCTGGAACAGAAAGGCCTTGCAGCCCTGTGGTGCACATCGTGCAATAGCAAGTTTCCCGTCTACAGGATCAGGGAAACCATGCAGCACATTTTTCTGCAATGCACCGGGGCTGTACTGACGTGGAGGTGGTGGGACCAAATATAGTGCAGAATGTGGGTCATGATTGGCCAGAATGACCCTCCTTTGTGGGGAATGGCACCCACCGCAAGACAACACCTTTGCAATGCATAATATATATGTTTCAAATTGCAAGCACATTTCTCTGGGCACTACGGTGGAAGACGTTCGTCCACCTGATGGAGGGAAAAGAAGAGGTCACGGAACCCATCAAGTAGCAAAATCTAACAGAACTGGCAGATCATTGGACACAAATTGGAAATAGAAACGACCTGCTAAGAGAAAAAAACGATCTTGAACAACATAAAAAAAGGCGGGGGGGAAAGGAGA